AGAAGTGGGAGACAAATAAAAGGAAATGGGACACAAATGCAAGGAAGAGGGAGACAAGCCAGCCGGGAACCGGACCACAAGCACCCAGCCTGGGAGACAAATGAAAAGAAGTGGGAGACAAATAGAAGGAAGTGGGAGACAAGCCGGCCGGGAACCCGACCACAAGCACCGAGCCTGGGAGACAAATGAAAGGAAGTGGGAGACAAGCCAGCCGGGAATGGGAGACAAATGAAAAGAAGTGGGAGACAAATGCAAGGAAGTGGGAGACAAGCCAGCCGAAAACCCCACCACAACCATTCAGCTTGGGAGACAAATGAAAAGAACTGGGAGACAAATGAAAAGAAGTGGGAGACAAATGAAAGGAAGTGGGAGACAAGCCAGCCGGGAACCCGACCACAAGCACCCAGCCTGGGAGACAAATGAAAAGAACTGGGAGACAAGTGAAAAGAAGTGGGAGACAAATGAAAGGAAGCCTGGGAGACAAATGAAAAGCACTGGGAGACAAATGAAGGAAGTGGGAGACAAGCCGGCCGGGAACCCGACCAGACCATCCAGCACCAAGGCAACCATTCTTTAAAGCATTGAGAACCCCTAACAGTATACTGTTTGGGGAATAAGCCACAAAAAGACATTGCCACAATTGTTGCTTTAGTTCGACCCACTTAAGAAACAACTCTCTTGGTCCTCCAGCTCCTGACCCCGCACAAGATCTCGGGTTGCTTCTCTAAGAAACTCCAAGAAGGTCATGAACAAAAGAATGTCTCTCCTTATGACCTTCTTGGAAAAAAGGTCTCTCCTTATGCAATGGACATTGCCTTAAGAGAAGGTCATGACCTCATGGTTGTCTCTCCTTAAGAGGTTGAGACATTGTAAAAATGGTGCAACCATGTATGTTCCAATTGTTCCATATATGTTCCATCACTGCTTCACCTGAAGCAGTGGAAGCTGGCATCAGGACAAACCCCGGACCGGCTCCGCCCGGGACGCCGGACTGCGGAAAACGACACTTCACGCTGGCGGTCTCTTCGACCTCGGTCCGCTGCGTCCGTGGAAGAGTCTCCACTCTGTTTTAAAGGGAAACAAAACACCACCCGAAAGAATGCAAAAAAATCCAAAAAGAGTTTGGGGGATAGTTGAAGGTTCAAGACATAGAAACTGCGTGGCACCTTGAGATGTGCAAATTCACCAATCAACACATAAGCGGTACTTCACCCACACCGGGGCTTTTGGAGGAATAGGGGATCCTTGCAGGGCCAAACCCTGGTGATGCCAAGTAAAAGTCACTCCCATGACCCATGCAGTAACGAACTATAGACGATATCACAAAGAAGAACTGGACTCATGCGATTCGGGCCGTAGCCAGCCCCGAACCCGATGACTAGTGTCATCACTTGCAATGTCATGGCTGGGGTGATAGCCATCAACCGTGCTGCACGCATCCCTCTCGCGGCTCCAAACCTCAACCTCAACCCAATCTTGCAATGAACCAATGCCAACAAAGGGTCATCCTAACCCAAATCTTACAAAATTGACCCACACGATCTATTGATCCACTCGCTGCGGGTGCCAGTGGCTGGCCCGACGCCCATGAACGCCGAGTCGCAGCCCCTGCGCGCGCCACGTGCAATGCCGACTTGGTCGTAGGCGAAGGCAAAGCCTGGGTCGCGCCACGAAGGACCAAGGTTTTGAAGGTAAACCGGGTCGTAAAAACCTTCAACATCCTAATAAAGTGGAGAGGTTTTGTCCAAATCGATCCACTTAGCGGGGTTATATCAATCAAGCGTCTACATTTGAGGTTCTAGGGTGATCGGCTCCCCACACACATCCTGATCCTTGGAATCCAAGGTGCTGACTAGTTTCCACTCGTTTCCCGTGGTGGCCTCCAAAACCTTGGATGAATCCCCAAAGTGAACAACATAGTCATCCTGTGATAGATTGAGGACCGTAGAAGATGGGGAACCCAACAAAACAGGAAACTGGTCAGGTTTTCGGATGCAGGTCATATTCTATTCTGGAATCCTGTTTGTCTATACTATACTAGTTGAGTTGCCCCCAAACAAACTAAGGAGTGTGCTTTGTGAGGAACTGCTGTGGTTTGGTGGTGGCAGTTTCGATCAGCAACTGGAATGCGCTTTTTTGTCGGTCACCCAACGGATGCTTTCGGCGGAACCTGGGCGTTAGCCCATTCTATAAAAAGAGACTAAAAAGTCCAAGCCACCTGTGGCGTGCAATCCTCTTCTCGCAACCTGCCGCGGATCTCTGCCATGTCCAGATCTTGGGGCAAATCGTCCTGCATGGGGAATTTGCGAGAAAACCATGGGTGAGTTCTGCACAGGTCACCAAAGTTTTTCCAAACACCAGCTTCTTACCAAATGGTAACATTTCATGCACCTGACAGTGGACATATAGGGGCAAGTCCTTGAGGGCCAGCAAGGACTTGAAGACATCTACGGCCCAGCACACTCCGGTACTTTTTCTAGATTCCCTAGGGCCCTCCATGCGGGTCAGACCTCCATGGCATCAAAATCCATGCCATTTCAGGGCCTGGATTCTTATCGTGTAATTAGGGTTGACCCATTCACAAATTTGTGACTAGGAACAAGTGCATCGCAACTAGTAGGAAGAAGCTACTGTAACAAGGGCGTACTAGTAGCGATGTACTGGTTCCTAGTAGCGATGATGCCCTTGTTACTAGTAGTGCTTCGTCAGGGGTCTAAGGCTCAGAACCTTGAGCATTGCTCGACACCAGCAGCCGAATGTTGATAAAATAAATACATGATACATGCACAAAACAAGCAGCAAAGGTCTTTTTGCGGTGCTCCCCTGATTGATTCTTGTATGCATGTTCTAGTGATTTACATAATTTACATACCGTGAAACCTGAAAAGAAAGGTGGGCAACAGAAAAAAAAAAAAAAAACGACCCCTTGTGTCTTGAGACCTTTCGAGATGTCAACTTGTCAACCCCAGGTTGAATGAAAGATCTCAGCTCGAATCCGAAGTTGGAAGGCTTCAGGGTCAGTCCTTGTACTTGGCGATGTGGGGAGTACAAGCAACCAAATCCATGGTGGCCGCGGCAGTGTCACCGGACACCATCCTGAGACGGGAATTCACAAAACTCTTCGGGAGGGGAACAGGCATACATCCTCCAGTGGGGTCATCGTTAGTCTATCTAGGTCTCGATTTTTGGGAAAATATACCGTAAGCATGTCTCCGAAAGCTGCGCTTATGACAATGAGCATAATCGAAGGAGCTGGGGGCTTGACCCGCTCCAGAAAAGTCCTTTGGGGCACTTGAGGGCCGTAGTCAGGGTTATCAACATGACAGCGGCAAAAGTACTTTGCCATGTTCAAATGATCGCTCAGTTCGAGAAAGGTCTCCCTAGATGTGCGAGAACCATCGTGCGGCTGTCAAAACTCATTGTTCAATTTCATGCCATCACATAGGTTTTATGGGACCCCATTGTGTCTTTCAGATTTGGACAACTTTAGACTTCAGCTTGGAAGGGAGATTTCCAACCAATGTATGTATGATCACGAGCACTCAAAGGAGACAAACAAACAACCTTCACACGAGTCGAAGGCAAATGAGCCTTCACTACGCTGCTATGTTTTAGTGGGCCCCTTGTGATGGACTGGCATGATCGAGGGCATACACCATATGCCATAGGGGTATTGCTTATGCATCACCTCGCTGTGTCGCTCCACATCCGGGCAAGAAAGGAGATGACAGCGCAAGGGTTTGGACGGTTTGGACCGCTTACGGCTTACTATGAGGAAAAAACGTTCATGGCACTGCACGCATAAATGTGGAATTCCCTTTCAAATCAAGAAGTGGAATTCCAACACATGTCAAACAACTACGCTTGGACAACGACAATGTTCATCCATGATCATCCTTCATGTTCTGGTAGGGCCTTGCTTTGAGGAGCCCATCGCTTCTCTGTTGTTGTTTCAAGATCTCACGATTTAAGGCGGCTCACATCATCTGCCCTGCGTACATACCGTCTTTCAAACATGTTTAAACAAATAACAACTATGGTATCCCCCGTACATGTTCCCTTGGGTGTCTTACATAGAGCCTCATGTACGGGGGATATTATGGTTATATATTTAACATGTTGGGACACACGGTGTGTATTAACCTATTGGAGGTCTCAATACAGTTGGAAGAAGCGAAATGGACCCTAAACCCATTGGGCCAGGAGACCATTCCCTATTGAAATACACACCCAAACGGTCAAACCAACGGGATTCCCCTTGCTTTCGCCTCGGTTCAGCCTGGATTTCCCGACCTCGGACCGGACGGACTGGACCCACGTGGCTTGGAAAGCTCATGCAGCTCAGTCTCTGGACAGTCTTGAAGATGTTGATACCCTGGCTGGTCAAGAACCTGAAGATTCGAAGCATCGGACGGCCGAGGCTCTGACGGAGGCTCTGACCATCTGCAATGTTGGGATCAAACATGGATGCTCTGGGATTCGGGGCCATGGAACCAAGGTAAAAGAGGACAAGTCCTCTACGACTCGACGAATGCAGGTTCTCTTTTAATCATATCATGGTCTTGAACTGGTCTATGAGCTCCATTCCCATGCTTGTGCAAATGATGATCTTGGGCTGAGGGCAGCCCCGCACGTACACATCTGAGGTGGCGTACATGTCTTACCTCTTACCTCAAAATCCTCAAAGCATCTCAAAGCTCAGCCGGAACCCTTCATATTTCTTGGTCTGTCTGAGCTTATGGTTCCATTTTGGCTCCTGCTCAACAAGGGCTATCGAAAGCCACAAAGAACTGGCGTCGGTGTTTTCAGTGGCCCAAATCTGTGGTCTGGTCCCCTTGTCTTGCACTTACGAAAGAAACCATCGATGGGTCAGCGACAATCTCCACCGGACACCTGCACTACCTGGTGACTATACTTCCTAAAACGGTTTCTGTCAGAGCTGTATCATGCGCTCATCAAGGCTTAACTAGGGGGCCAAATATTATCTAAGATTACCTTTTTTGCCAAAGAATGCAACCAGCCCAAATTAACTCTGTCCGTCTGTACAAGACCCTTCCTGAGGTTCCACACGGTTGCCGCAATTTCCTACCAATCTGTCGCCCTGCCAAAACAAACCCCCTTACAAACATTGCAGATAACCCTCTTTCAAAGAAATACTGCAACTGGTGAGCTTTTCTTGGCTGTGACCCAGTGATACAGCTTCTCAACTTTCACTGAGACAACTTTCTTCCCGACCCCAAGGTTCTCCCACACCAGTTCTCATCAACCTCACACTAGGTCCCAAGAAACCCGATCTCGGCGTTGGGATGCAAGCCAAAGAGTTGCGGCTCTTCGATCAACCTGACTCGACACGGAAGACGAGGTCGGAAAACGAGGTCGGAGCATTCTGGCTTGGTCGGGTGAAACAACGAATGGAACATCACGGACTGGAAGGCATGCTGTCAAGATATCCTCTAACTAGTTCATCTGAGTCAGGACTTGTTTCCAAGAAGATTGCCAAGTTATATAAGTTATAAATTGGAATTGGGTTCTCAGGATCCAAACTAGGGTCAAGTGGTCAAGCTGGATTTACTCCAAAGCCACCTTGTTGGAAGACCCGCCCTTTCTGGAAGTAACGGTGGAAGGCGAGCAGCTTGAAGAAACGAACCCAATTCAAGGCAGCTGCAACAAAGCGTTCAAAGGAAGAAAAAAACACCTAAAAAACACAGCACCAAGCACCTTTCAGCACCTCACTTGGGCTTTTGGATGGTAAAGAGTGTCCAAGGGGTCTTCCATAAACCACCTGACCTTGCTGGTGAAAACCTTGACATGCGGCTTGGCCGGCAGGCTGCCCCTCCCAGGGTCAGCCGGGATGCGTTTGGTAGGAGCTGTACTCAAGCTTGGAAGCATCAGGCAATTTGAAGCGGGCCAAAGACATGTTGGTCAGCCTGGAAGCAACTTGGGACCCAACCAGTTGCCGAGAAACACCGGACTTCACAACTTCCCAACGACTACATCTGGCAGATCTTTCATCAGCCAGCTTTACCAGAATAGAAAGCTGAATCATCTTTTCACTCTCATGATTCATGAATATTCATGACATGTCAACTCGTTGTGTGATATCCTCGGCATCTTCACCAGCCCAGCTTTGTAATCTCTCTCACTGCTGGGGGTGCTCGGATCGGTGTTTTCGGCTCGGTGTCAAGTGGCAGCGCGGGCAACTCGGACGTCTTTCGCAGCACTCGCCTGTCCTGCTACACGTCTCTCGCGGCGGACATGCGCAGGGTCAGCCGAGCCACTGGTGAGAGTCACGAGCTGAAACCAATCCAAAACGATGGGTGATCTCTACCCTATTGATCCCTGTATATATACATGGAACAGTGCAGGGTCTGCAAATCAACATGAGGTCTGCCGTTTTTGGGCGAAGTCTTCTTTTTCCAACCTTCTTTGTCACTTCCCAGCCAACCTCCAATAAGCCACCCATTGTCGCCTGCAACCCTTCTGTTCACCCACCCGTGACTCACACCGGTCCTGATCCGTGATGTACCGGAGCTGCCAGGGAACGTCCGTTGGAAACGGACCGCTCTCCGCCTGAGACATCTGGGCTCCGAAAGCCAGGATGGTCCAGATATTGCATGGGGACGTGACGGTGGTCCAAAGTCTTCCTAGTATTCTTCAGGGTCACCTGGTCATGATTTTCCCGAACAATTGACATCATTCAACTGAAGTGGTGCAACTGGGTCAAATCTCAAGTCCACGTAGCTACAACATGCTACAACAAAGCAAAAGAAAGGCCCATTCAAGCAGCCCATCGAGGAATCCGGGACCATCCATGTAAATATTATAAGCAGCCAATCTGCTGGATACTTAAACTACTAGGTTGGGGTCGCTAGGTTTTGCTCCTTGGCCTTCCCCAGAAAAAGGAATCGTCCGCTGCTTAGACATGCTCCTGCCTCAATCCCGCTTAGTAATGAATGGTCCGATTTGCTATTGTGCTTGTCCTGACTGCCTCTGCTGCCTTCTTTCTTCATCGATCAAGTGTATGCAACGGCACAAAGTCAAGCCACGTTGTTGAGGTAGTTGCACAACACCTGCGCATAAATGGTCAGGTCGCCGTCGTTGAAAGGGTACTTCTTGGACCATCCTGGTCATCAACAGGCAAAAAGCGGTGCATACCTTCCTGCGCCCTGAGCATCAAAGTGTGTGTGTGTGTTGAAAGTTCAATAGAATGCTTGCCCAGGGCACAATGCATTGGAGTTGATTAATTCCGAATTGACATGTTCATGGATCCCGGTTTTTTATGTCGATATCTGTCGATTATTTCTTTGCTGTCCGTGCTGGATTCCCGATAATGATCTTCGCCACGCAGTAAACCATCACTCACTGAGAGATTCCCAACAAATATCTCAATCATTCTGAATTCTCAAGCCGAGGTGGCCCACCTGAGGTGGCGGATGCACTGGTGAACATCTGCGGAGGCGGATGCACTGGTGAACATCTGCGGACCCCCCAAACAAGCCTCGAACAAAACCCTCGACTACCCGAGCTGTTGGTAATCTGGATTCGGACGCGTTTAAGAAACTGATCTTGTTTTGTAAAGTAGGATGTGTTTTCTATCAGGTCATCTGTAGGGGCACCTTACCAAGTCAGCTAGAAATCTTAAACCAATTCCGAGTCCCAGCCGCCAAACATCTCTTCGGCAAGTCCCAGCGCTGCCAGGCATCCTTGAGACCCAAACTTCACACGGCCCAAGACCAAGGAATGGAAGAAGTCAAGCGCGAAGAGGGTGGCCTGGAAAAGAACGTGCTTGTTCAGATGTCATCCGTGCTTTACTTTGCTGGTGTGTCTTTGGTGTTGGCGCTCTCTCTCTCTCTCTCTCTCTTTCTCTCTCCCCCACTGCATAGGAAATCTAGTTTCTTACAACCGACGTCTTCCGATCAGTGACTTATTTGAACAACCAGGGTCTTGACAACGTCATTTAGCATATTTATGAAACTATCGCAACCAGTACCTGTGTGTCTATATGTGTCTATACACATAATGTGTCACTCTGTCTTCCAAACTGCAAAACATCCTACTTGCTCTGTGTTCTTTCTTGGGCCTATGAACACGTGGCTGTCCGCCCGTGTGGCCGAACCTGGTTCTCACTGCGACGATCTGCTACGCCACGCACGCCGTACACGACTCCGATAAAGGAGTTCCGGGCCAACTTCCATGAAAGCAACCATTCGGATTCCCCAAAGTGTCCAAGAATCTCCGTGCTCAGCATCCACTCATGGGTCCACTGCATCCATTCATCTGTCCTTCTGAAACAAGTTCGTCCCACAACACGTAGAAGTCTGAACCTGCAGGTGTTTCTAACGTCTCCTGCCATCCCACAGCAGCTCAATGAACCCATAGATGAGGAACAAAGAAAATCATCTTCAAGCCCTGAATGGTTCCAAAGGGCCAAAATGGGGACAAGGGTGTTTGGTAGTAAGGTGCCGTAAGGCCCACACACCTCTGGGTCAGGCCCTCAACATCCACACCAAAACCCCACACCCCTCGTCTGAGTTACTCGATGATTCTGCCACTGAACCCCGCCTTGAACTCCTTAGGCTTCTGACAGGCGATGTGTTCCTGCGAGCCATGGCCCATGGCTGTGGGGAGCTGGCGCCAGAATACCGACCGATGTTGGTCAAGCGTGAACCAGGGCTCCAGATGTGCATCGCCATCTAAGACAACAGTCATAGCCCAGGAGGTCATCGCTCTTTGTCCACGATTCCCTCGAACCTCGCCGGCCCGGCCTGGGAGACCGTCCTGGCGTTGGCCCGTCGCAGGTTCGCCTTCAGATCCGTTGGCGCCACGTCCGCGATCTTGATGCACCAGGGAAGCGATCTCGGCTGCGGACGGATGCGCACGGATGCGCCCGCACGCTTGGCAAGAAGCGGAAGGCGAGCGCAAGGGAAACGGCCCCAGTCGCAACAAGGCCCCAGTCGGTCACCTGTTAGTTCGTGACGAACCGATCATAATGATATGATATGACCTTATTGACCAAAGTGATATCAGGTCAATATGCTCAATTCTCAAGGTAGAATCATAAGGTTATCATATATTGATATGATACCTTATTGATCCTTATTGACCAGATTTTCCTGGCTGCAAGGCTTGAGTGTCTCAAGCCCCAACGAAACCGAGGCTCCGAATGGAACGGAGCGATGGGACGTGATATGGTTGACCTGCTCCAAGTGAACAGAATTGGACCGAAACCCAGGTATTTTTGGAGACTCAGGGTGTGCACCAAGCTCCGACTCAGGTATGACTCAGGTATGACTCAGGTTTGACAGGGGGCTGCGCAGCTGGATGGTAGGTATGACTCAGGTATGGCACCAGGTACGTCCAGGTTTTGAGTATGCAGCAGAATGGTAGCAGGGTTCTGTTCGGCCTTTGCCCGGCTTTGGAGGTGGTTTGGGAGGTCTTCATCCATCCAAAGACCACCGGAACCGATCTCGCCCCAAAACCAGGGCAAACACCGGTCTCACCGAGACTTCTCCATTCCACCACTCCATCTAGCGATGACCGACCACATCGACCTCTCCCTCCGCCATCACCGCCATCCGACCGCCATCACGCTCCGAGCATCGAGAGGTCGTACAGCATGCCGCCGCCCAACGAATGCGCCGTCGCCTGATCGGTGCCTGGGGCGACTGGGGGGCTCCGAGGTGACGACTGGGGCGACTGGGGGGCTCTGAACATTCGCAAACGAGCCAGAAAAACATCACCCATCGGAGTATATCATTGGCTGATGATTGCTGCGATATCCTCTGCCAGCTGTGCCACAAATGTCAACCCTCAAAAAATTTCCACTTCCCAGGTAGCACACCCCAACCGCAGCCACGCCAACATAATACGTGAGCAGCGCTCAAAAAACCAGGCAGGAAAGTGGCCACCGCATGCACACCAAGCCGGAAAGAAACCACCACACTCGAAACCAGGCAACAAAAGTTAATTCATGCAGTAAGCCTGGGAAAGCGCAGGGGGATGCGTCGCCAGCCCTTCCAAAACCAGGCAGGAAGCAGCAACCACACTCAAAGCCAGGCAGGAACTAGCCACCACACTAAAAAACCAAGCAAACCAAGCAGGAAGGCAGCCATCACCCTCAAAACCAAACAACCAAAATTAATTCAGGGAGGGGTCGATTAACTTATATAGTTGGCTAGTTTGGTCCTTGTCTCTCTGTCTCTGTCTCTCTCTTTCCCTCTCTCTCTCTCTCTCTCTCCCACCCCGGCCCTCCGCAATAATCAATTGAGGGGTGCGCGACCTCTCCGCCACCTCTCGATTATTTCTCAAGTAGACATGACCCTTAGCTTAATCCAAAGTAGGAAAGTGCAAACTGTTCCCCAAGCAGGGTGGTCACACTTAGGGTTCTTACGGTAGGGGTTAAGGGCCAGTGTCTAATCAAGGTGTTGCACCGACGTGCCCGGCTAATTCGCTGCTATTTACTGTACATGCATGCCGGCACAAGGGAAACCTCGTGTTTTTGGTGGTCCAAAGTCGACTTTTCGTGACAGGCACAAGGGATCGGAGCGGCTTTACTTCGAAATGCAGATTGCGTGGCAGGAGCAGCACTTTGGACATGGTGATGATCTTCGCCTCGACGCGCTCTAATTTCGTGACAGGCGCAGTGGATCGTGACTTTTCTACATGTGGTTCGTTGTCAGAAATCGGGGGAAGTCTCGCGAAAGCTGCGTTTTGGTGTCTCCACGTTGTCTTTAGAAGCGTTCTTGCGACGAAACGCCGTGTCAGGGCTGCTGCATGTGAATCTTGAAGTGCCGACTTCGTGGCAGGCGCAGCACTTTGTGAACCTCAATGCGCAGATTTCGCGGCAGGCGCAGGAGTCTGTCCTTTCTGAGGCGTGCTCTCAGATGCTCACTCTCACTCACACTCACACACACACACTCACACTCACTCACTCACTCTCACTCTCACTCTCACTCTCACTCTCACTCTCACTCTCAC